CCCCCCGACACCCCCCTGCCCAGGCGCCAGTTCCCCCCCCAGACCACACTGTCCTTGCAGTCCTCGCATTCCAGACGTCTCAGCACTTTCACTGCCCAGAGATAATATTCTCAGCGAGCAGACGTTTGCGTCAGTGTCAGATAGGTCTCAATGCCACCCTGCCCTGGGGGAAGAGCAGCAGGCAGACGGGCTGGGCAGGCAGGCAGGAGCCTGTGGCAGAGCCCCCCAAGCCGCCAGCCCACTGCACACCCCATGGTCATGCTGCTCCTCCTGCACCTGCTGCCTGCCATGCTGCCCACCGCCGCCCTGGCCAGCTGCACTGGGGCTGGTGCTGACAGGCAGCTCATCCTGGCCAAGGTGCGGGCTCGGGTGCTGGAGCATCTGAGCCCACCAGTTCTCCAGGAGGAGCCCCAGAAGGATGCAAGGAAGCTGCACCGGAGAGATGTTCTTGAAAATGCTGAAGTTGAGCCGGAGGAGCTGGAGGACACTTCCCAGGTGATCCTCTTCCCTTCCACAGGTGAGAACATCCTGGTTGGGATGGAGAGGGCAGAGGGGTGAAGCAAGGTTGGGGGCTTGGGGCAACACCGATGCAGCAGGACAGAGGGGCTGCTGTGGTGGTCTGTGGGAGAAGAGAAAGAGGGTACACCAGGCTGGGGCACAGGTGAGGTTTGGTCAAGAGCCAGGAGGTGGAAAGGTATGGCAGGCAAGGACAGGCAGAGCAGCCCAGGACACAGGCAGGGAGAGAGGCAGGCAGCACAAGAGGGTGCTGAGAGGCCAGGGAAATGCTGGTCCAGGCAGGATGCAAAGAGATGGGGAGGACTGAGGAGCAGGCAGTTTAGGATAGGGAGGGATGCTAGGGAAGGGGGCCGGATACTGGGAAACAGGATGGGATACTAAGGGACAGGGCAGGATGCTGTGGGATGGGTCAGGTTGTCCAGCTATGAGGCAGGACACTGGGAGATGGGGGCAGAGTAATGGACCAGCTTAGGGCTCAGCTGCGGGGCGCAGTGCAGTGGCTGCTGCATAGCACTAGTGATCAGCTCTCCCACACCCTGCCACAGCCCATGCCAGCAGCCGGGCACCCTGCCAGCACCCCAGGGACTCTGCAACATCTTGTCTCCCACCCGGCATCAGGAACTGCCCCCCCCTGGTTTGGGCTCACACCCTAAGCATCTTTCCACCTCCCCACAGATGTGCCCTGTGAGCCCACACAGCCAGACAAGCTGCTGGAGGAAGAAGGGATTTTCACCTACCTCTTCCAGCCCTCAGCACACACCCTGAGCCGCGTGGTGACCTCTGCCCAGCTCTGGTTTTACACCGGCCCCTCAGCTGTCCCCAACCACTCGGCCCCCGACGTGCTGACCCTATCACCTCAGGGCCGCGTGCCGGTGACGGCCGTGGCAGTGCGGACGCCTGAGCACTGGACAGTGTTTCACTTCGCCCCGGCACTGCTGCCTCAGCTCTCCCAGCCGCTCTTTGTGCTTCTGGTGCGCTGCCCTGGCTGCCCCTGCCTGGCTGAGGGGGACAAGATGCCCTTCTTGGTGGCCACCACCCGGGCCAAGGGCAGCGAGAGGGCTCGTCGCTCCGCTGTGCCCTGGTCCCCAGCTGCCCTGAGCCTGCTGCAGCGCCCGTCCGAGGACTTGGCTGCCCACACTAACTGCCGCCGGGCTTCCCTCAACATCTCTTTTGAGGAGTTGGGCTGGGACAAGTGGATTGTGCATCCCAGCAGCTTCGTTTTCCAGTACTGCCATGGGAGCTGTGCTGAGGGCCATGGGCTGAGTCACCGCCTGGGCGTGCAGCTCTGCTGCGCTGCCCTGCCCGGCACCATGCGCTCCCTGCGCGTCCGCACCACCTCTGATGGTGGGTACTCCTTCAAGTACGAGACAGTGCCCAACATCCTGGCCCAGGACTGCACCTGCGTCTAGGGCATGCCACAGCCAGGCCCAGACCATTATTCTCCCGCCAGGAGAAGTTGCTTGCCCAGGAGACCCCTAGCCCCAAGCCACAGGGACCAGAGGGACCTGCCGGGGGGTGGTTTGGGCTGTGCCCACCCTCCCCTGCACAAGCCAGTTTCGGGCTGGCCTGGGGCAGTTGTCAGACCTGCCCCAGGGCCAGTCCTAGCCCAGAGTAAGCCAGGGCATGGTGGGGCAGGGACAGGCACAGCCTCTGGCAGAGGCACCAACCCTCTGCTGAAGCCAGCCTGATGTCTGCAACCAGCTCAGCCCCCATTTCTCTCCCCTTGCTGCCCTCTCCCAATTTCCACACACAACCCCTACCGCAAAAGACTGGGGTCCTGCTCCTGCTGCAGAGTGCAAGAGCTTCCTCGTGCTCCCAGGCAGGGATGGGGATGTGTCAGGG